CAGCGTGGGGTGGAACCAACATCACAGAAGGGGGGAACCATGGCTCTCTGGTCGTCAGTTTGCACACTCAGATATATCAATATAGAGGAAAGCACATTGGTTTTGATGGCGATCCAAGTTGTTGGGTACATCCCACAGAAATACAGAAATAAATGACAGAAAAACAAAACACACATACACAAAAAAAATTGATTTTAAAAAAGATATATCGATCACAATTAATGATATGAAACGCAATATATATGAATGATTGTATAGAACACATGTATGAATAAATCACAATGTATATAGATGATAGTAAGAAATCCACTAAATATCATTATTATCGAGCCAAAAAATAAATACCAAATTACACAATTACAAGTATAAATTAAGAGTATCATATAGAAAATTTTAAAAAAATAACGGGGGACTTTGGGCAGGGGAAAAAATGGAACAATGAATGAATGGAAATACAAAGTCTCTGTAAACGTTCATAAAATAAAAAAAATTAAGATAGAATGATACAGTTAGAATTATAAATGAAAACATAATTATACAATAATCATGACATTAAAAATGGGGGCATATGCATGAAGAGACATGAAAGTATTTCTATAACGAATTGGATAATTTTTTAAAATTTTTTTATTTTAATTTTATTATTTGTGTGTGAGTGTTCCGTCCAATCAGATCTCACTGGTACAGGAGGAGATTGTCCCTCCTTCCTCGGCAGAGCATCTGGTGGATTCGAACCATGCACCTCTGGGATTGCAGTGCAGCTTCTTGCCACTTGGCCACCAGAGCTCCCCGAAATTGAGAATATTTTTTAAAGAACCACAAATGAAAATACCAGTATTCTGTGTTCCCTGAGTATTTGTTGATTGAAATACTCATTTCAATATATATATACATATACACACACACACACATATACATATATAGAATCTCCTATATATAATCTCTTATGTATAATCTCTTATCTATAAAATCTCACATATAATCTCATATATATTATCTCATATCTCACCTCATATATATCTCACCTCTCATATATATATCTCATATATATATATCATGAGTATATATATCATATATCTCACACAC